CAAATAGATATATGCCGTAAAGACATGATAGTTCACTGGTTAAAGACTGGTACTGCTACAAGGGAAAAGCTGATAAAAGCACTTGAGGATTTGGAAAGAATCGATGTTGCTACTGAAGTAAAGCGTCTACCTAAACAATAACAATTTTTAGTATTGTTATGATTATAATTCAAATCATATCTTATTTTTCTGTTTAATTCTCATACATTATACACTCCTTCTCTTTATCTGTTTATTATTACTACTATTATTTTTAATCTTCTTGTTTCACTTTTACTTGTCCTTCTTTTCCTTTTCCCCCTCTATTGCTTTCTCTTCATTGGTTTATATTAACAGATACTGGACACAGCATGGTTTGTTATTATAATAATTATTAATATTTTTCTCTCTTTTTATCAATTCTTTCTATTTTGAAGTTTCCATTAAATTTTTACGATACTAATAAATAGCCTGGCAAATCAGGTGTTTACCCCATGCAGTGCAGCAACTTTACTAATTAGATCTACCCATGTGTATACATGTGGTGTATCTAGCAGTGTAAAGGGTCAATCCTGTGAGGAGGTCCTTCTTCAACAACCCGTTAGTCATATCAATCTCATTGACTGGACCACTTGTGAGAAAATAGACAATGTTATGACATTTAGTGTAACATTAAAAGATTGATACTTTTATCTTGTGTATTCATCAATGGATCTGGTGTAATGTATCAGATAATGTAGGATATGGTATGCATTCACCACCAGTCCTATATAATGACTATATATCACTCACTTCTCATCAATACTACAATCATTCTATCATTGTTGTTATTCTATTAGTTGCTAAAAGAGCATTAACTGCAAGTTATTTTCAATACCTTGTCCTGAAGGTGTGAATTAACCACCTGAAGGTGTAAATTAATGTGTTAACTAGAAAAAAAAGTAGTGGAATAAAGCTGTATTTGTAACAAAAATTTATTCAAAAACAAAATTAATACAACAACGACCAAAAAACAAAATAATAGTAGTAATAATGATAAATAAAGCAAATAATAATATTGTCCATTAATAAAGTCCTCATCAGAGCCTAAATGAACTTGCCATAGCAACAACAGAGTCTCCTCCCATTCAAGACACATCTACAATAATAATAAAGTTATTAAAAAGAGGGAAAATCCAATTTTGATCAGAATGAGTTCAAACTTTATACAGAACTTAAGAACATGTATACATGTATGTATTGGGGGAAGACTTCTCTTTTTTCATTTTGAAAAGAATTGGTTTATGATCATACAGGGACTGTGGACTGATTTTTGAGTAAATTATGGCTCCAAAACCACCCAAAATTCTTATTACATTTTCTAACACAAAATATTGATGTACATGTACTTTTGCATCAAAAGTTTAAAAAAATCCCTATTTCAAAGTAACTAGCATTTTATTTGATGAAATACCCCAGGCTCTAGTACATGATACAATACATGAATACATGATGAATGCAAAGAAAATTGATATACATGTACATGTACATGTGCACGTATAAGCACATGTACATGCACATTCTAAGTTCAACTGAGATAAAAAACAATAACAATAGTAATCAGAAAATCCCATTATCTGGACTCTTGAAAATAACAAGAAAATTAATGATGAGATTTAATACACAATAATTACATGTACATACTGTACATGTACAACACAGTCTCTCTCAAATGGGAGAGTTCCTTATCTATAGATGCATTGCTATACATACTGTACTGTACACTGTACATGTAAATCAAAAAGTACATGTACATGTACATGGATATTGTTCACTACACTGCAAAAAATATGTTGTTAAAACAACCCATAGGTGGTTACCTCAGTTTCACTAAACAATAGACTTCCGGTCCCGGAACTGAGGTAACCCTCTAAGGGTAGTTTTAAACAAAATTTTTTGCTGTGTACTAACTAAATTTGAAGTCTCCATTCTGTCCCTCTCTTTCATTTCCATTGATCTATTGAGTCCAATCTGTACTGGGATTGGTGCTAACATCAAGTAGTGAATCTGAGGGGGCGGGACACTGGTCTGTGGCCACACCTTCAATATCTTCTGAATACCTCTACCTACAATGTGTATATTTGTGTGTAAGATGAAGATCTGAAGGGAGAGAGAGAGGGAGGGAGGGAGAGAGGAAGGGAAATCTGAAACTGAATGTACATATACTAACCTCCTCTGGGTGGCATAATGATTGTTGCTGATGAAAAACCAGGTAGAGTTACTTCCTAGTAGAACAATGAATACATAACTTCTTCTTTTTCACTCTTCCTCCCTCATTCCTTCTTTATTCCTCCTCTCTCACCCTCTCATTCACGTCCCCCTCCCT